CTCTCTCTCTCTCTCTCTCTCTCTCTCTCTCTCTCTCTCTCTCTCTCTCACACACACACACACACACACACACACACACACACCACGGCTAAGAAAAAGGAGATGATGCCCTGTGTGTTATGTGACTGCTTTTCCTGAATGATGCTCAGTCCCTTAGCCCATCCTAGAGAACTGACATCTTTGCCCTTGCCACCTTGAGACCAGAAAGGCCGCAAAACCCTCTCCCATAATAAAAGACTGACACCAAGTTTAGAAATGAGGCAAGTTTTAAATATGTTAGCAAAATATTAACATTAAATATACATTATAAATAGGCCTTATAAATATAAAAATGAATTAAACTGATAAAAAAATAAAACAATAAATTAGTCATGTCCCTCCAAGTAATTTCTCACCAGCTTCTGAGTCCTTTCAAGAGGACTGCTTCAGCCTGTGAAAAAATCCATAACACACCACCAGAGGGAGCTCTGAGCAGCGAGGACCCAAGGTGGGGCTTGCAGGCACTGGGAGATCTCCCATAAACCCACCCCACGACAGTTTGCACTATAGGTTCCCATTTACAGAGACTTTGATGTCCAGCCTGTGTCAGAGTCCAGCAGCTGACAGGCGGAGGGGGGTGTTTCATAAGGACTCACACACACAACACAGCTTTCCACAGAGAACGCTGGCATTCAGATATATAAAGTGTCTTGCTCACAGTCACACAGAGGATTAGGGAACAAGCTAGGCTCTGAGCTCTCATCCCTTGAACTACCAGATCACCGTTCCTTCTAGGACACCCTGCCCCTGTCGAAGCTGCCAAGTGTGAGGTCACCCAGATGTCCAGGTATCGGGCCTGAGTGGGATAAGGCATGAGAGAGAGCACCAGACCAGACCTCTTTTTGGAACCCAGCCACAGGGAAAGGAGGAAGTCTGGAGGCAACAGCTTCAAGTCATGAGAGGAAAGGACCAACAGCCTGAGGGGTTCAGCCCAGTGGTGAATCAGGCTGTGTCATCAGACCCCTGAATCAATGGAAAGCCTCCGGCCCCACGTGGCCTGACCCAGCCACCCAACTAGGACTGGAGGCTTGGAGTGAAGGCACAATAACCTGATTATCCTTGCAGTCCAGAGTGGTAGTAGGGGACACCCAACTTCACCCCTTAAAGTGCTCTTCTGCATGGCCCTGAACACACGAGCAGCTTTGAAAGCCTCTGAGAGGCAGCATCCAGTTTCAACAGACTATGCTTCTCTGTTAGTGTGTACTCAGGCTACCAGGGTACTTGGGCCCTGGGCTTCAGCCTCTGGCTGCTCCTGGAGGGTCTGATTCTGCGTGCTCCCTTGTGCTGAGCCCGGAGCGGACTGTGTCTCCGGCTGCGTCTGGAGCCATCTCCCCACTCCCTGAAGATCCTCCCCACTGAGCCCATGAAGCGATGGTAGCCCCAGAGGAAGCGGCAGCTGTCTATCTTGACCCGAAAGATGCCTGGTGTCGTGGTAGTGGACCTTGAGGCCCCAGAGTCTGCCTGTGTGGGCTCAGGTGTCTCCAGGGAGTGGTGGAGCAGCTGCGCCATGCAGTAAACATTGTTTCTTATGCCCTGGATGTTCTGCCTGGCCCTCTCTAGGTCTGGAAAAGCCTGAGTCTTCAGAAATTGCTGTCTTAAAGCACCCAGTTGGTGCCCGATTCTGTCCAGTGTGGCATACACAGTGCTCAGGAAGTGAGGCTTGCTCAGTTGCCGGAGTGTGTCCTCACTGGGGAAGGCCACAGAGTTTTCTGTGCAGGCAGCTCTCAGGGTAGATGTGTTCAGGTTTTGGAGGCGGATCTGAGGAAGGAAGAGATCGAGGAATGCATGACAGAACCCCTCAAACACATACAGAGAAACCCGCCTTTGCTGTCTTTGAAACACAAGCTCTTGTAATGATCTCAACAAAGATGAAAAGTCAAAGTATGAGAAGAATTCTGATGTCAGCAGAGACGGGCAGGAGGGCTGTCTGGGCCCTAGGGTGACTGTGCATGCAGTGGATGGAGTGAGGGTCCCTAGGTGTGGTGGGGGCTACAGGAGCTCTGACAGGTTCACTCACTGCATCTGGGAGCCTAGAACAAAGAACCAACCTTTCCAGACAGTCAAGGAATGGAGTTGGGAGTCAAGCAGCTCCACCATCCCTCAAATGACTCAGTTTCCCCTCCTGCCCCATTCTGGTCCTCCTGGTCACTCCCTCACTAGTCCCCAAGATTCTCTGACCTTCAGGTGCCCTAAGGGCTGAGGCTTACATAGGGCTCCCAGAGTGATCCCGTGTTCCCTGTGATGTTTGTCTGACTCTGCAGCTGGCTGAGGAGCTGTGGGGAAGAGCTGGAGCAGCCACGCTTGGCCGGCGCCATGTTCAGGAACAGGAGACTGAGAACCAAACCTAGGGCAGAGAAGGGCTTGGTTACCTGACTGGTGTTACGTAGAGCCCCTCATGCCTGGTTGTGCAGCCCCAGGGAAGGAGCGGGTGTGTAGCAGGTACTGGGTTTACACAGGGGCACTCACTGGGGCCACCACCTTCCACCACAAACCAAACAGGGTGAGGGAGATGGCGGTGGCTGCAATTGACCAGCAGCTCTTTGGGCAGAAGTTGGGGTTTAGACCACAGCATCCCTGTCCTGATCTTAGGGCACAACAAACAGACGAGTCCTCTATGTCTGACCTCATACAAGGGTTAGTTTTGGCCTAAGACTGACAACGGGTCAAATCCCTGACTCAGTATAGACCATAACATTCCCTGTAGGTGGAATAGACTGGACCAAGGGCCGGCCTGGGAAGCAGCCCCAGGGCAGCAGGTCACCTGAGCTCTCTGTTCACAGAGCCAGAAAAGGCACTTCTTCACTCACAGGGCCAGCCAGTGCTGACACCCATTCTACTGAAAGGTGAGCTAGGTGCAAGAGAAAATCCTGCCCAGGTCACACATACCCAGCACTCGCCTTGACCTTCCTGCCCCCAACACACAAACTTCCAACACACACACCAGGGACACTGGGAGCCCATGAGAAGGTAGTGGGGGTGAGGGCAGACAAGTACAGTTCCAGCTCGCCGGCCCCCACCCTCACAGGCACCGGCAGCCACGTGGTCGGAAGAGGCCTGTGGTGCAATGGCCCGGAAGGCTGTGACACCATCCTTCCCTTCCTACAAACCAACCAGCCCCCTGGGGAGGGCCAGGAGCCCAGGCGTGCCAACCACAAGTCCCCTCCCCATCTTCCCTAGGTGTCTGCAGCTACACTGCCAGTGAGGGCCCACAGTGAGCATGTAACAGGTGCACGTGGACCAGTGCCTGTGGGGGTGTGCCCGTAGACCTAGGGTGAAGCACTTCAGAACCTGCCCTGTTCACTGGGAGCTCTGGTCTGCAGGTGAGCCTTCCTGTGTTACTGAAAGGGAGGACCCGCACTTACATTGATGGCTCTGCTTGCCTGTCCCCATGTGGGTGTGGCTGTATGTGTGGCGGGATGATCTAACGACCTCTGGCTTGACTGACTTTCCATCTAGCCCAGACCCTGAGAATTGAATCAGAGCAAGGAGGCCTCATCCTCGCCCTCGCTCCACTTCCTCACAGATCTGAAACTTCCTTTTCTGCTCATCTCCTACCTGCCTCGGGCTTCTCCAGCTTCTTCTCTTTCTCCTCTTCCCTCATGCCCTGGTCCCCAGCATGGTCTCTCTGTCACCTCCCTCTGGAAACCTTACAGAAATACCACGTCTCCACCTGTGGATATGCTGGGGTCTCAGTGGACCCCTCCCTGACCTTCTAGCTATCCCTTCCATCTGCAGCCTTCACTTGATCTGCAGCTCCCAAGGGCAGAAGGTGCCCACAGCAGCCAGTTGGCACAGCTGTGCCCTGGCTTGGCAGAGAGGAAGGAAGTACTTACTGAGCAGTGTTCTTGGTGGAAGCTGTCTCTGCATGCTGGGTCCTGGTGATTCGGCCCGTGCCTCTCAGGGGTGACACAGTTTGGCTGGGTGTCCTGTGGGCTGGCAGCCACTTTATGCCCGATGGGGCGATTGGCCAACACCTCGTGAGGTGGGTGGGGAGGGGGAGGGGGAAGGGCAGGCCTTCTGGGAACATGACCCCAAAAACCAAAGTTTCCCCAGGCGGCCAATGGGCGCCAGGCGCCATGACATGCCCGCTCCTCCTCCCGTTTTCTTCGAATTCGTTCTTCGAGGTCAGCCCCACGCCCAAGGATGATGTAAACCGCAGCCTCAGCCTTCTTGGGGTGAGCAGGCAGCATGGGGGTCTGTGTCATCTTCAGGAGTCAGTTCAGGGGTCAGAGCAGGACTTGCAAGGTAGGCCACCCTTGGTCCAGGAACCCCCAATCTTATAGGACACCGAGGTTTAGGGCTAAAGGGAGCCAGACATCTTCCTCGTTGGGTGCGCTTCCCACCCTCTCGCTTGGGCTGTCGGGACATCTGTGAGCGGAAACCACCAGGCTCTGGGCACAGAGCCAGACTCGGGCCCCAAGATTGTGCCTCTAATCCCTGGGCAGCATCTTCTAGCCCGACTCATTTCCACTGTCTCCATGAACTATCCCCTACTAGCCTTCCCAATCCCAGGTCCCCTCTGTCGACAGGATCCTTTAGGACATTTGGAGCAAGAGAAATTAGAGACCGGTTTTCAAAGCTTCTGACAGGCTGTGTCCTCGGAGGCAAGTCCCTTGGCCGCTTTGAGCCTCACCTGTGAAACGGAGAGAGAAGCATTCCTTGGTTCACCTCACAAGGTTACTGCCAACATGAACATAAAAGGCAAAAAAGCCTTTGAAGGAACAAAAAAAAAAAAAAAAAAAAAAGAACAAACAAAAATTGAATTCCAGGTACTAGTTTTCAGGGGATGGAGGGGGCGGGGAGCCAGGGAAGCTGTGAGCTCAGAGGGGAAGCTGAGGGGTGGGGGTGCTGAGACAGTTGGACACAAGGTTTCACTTTCTCTGAAAGATAGCGATCCATCATGGGTGGGTCTTCTGCTTCTCAGCATTGATTGAAAGTGATGACTTGTGGCCCTGGAGACAGTGTCTCTTGGTCCGTCTACTGCTTTACTGTGGTAAACTGAGGCTCAGGCTGACCCAGATCCACAGGCCATGCTTGGAAGCCCCATCATGTCTGCCAAGCTAGAATGAGCATCCTTAGGCTGTAACTTCAGGAGCCAGAGGTACCTGCTGTTGGCCCTCATATATTTATTCAACAAACCTCCCCCACCACTCCCTACCCAGGAGGCGACTATGCCCCATCCACTCATTCTCTGCACTCAGCAGTGTTTCCCTTGTTAGCAACCCACCAGTGGAGCCTAGTCTAGATCCCTTTCCTGAAGTCTTCATTTCCTCCTACTGAATTTCTCACCTCTGCCCATCCCAGGGTGCTGTTCCCTAGGGCCCTGGTCAGTAATCCTTCTGCATTTCACATCCCTGATGTCATCCTGGGGCAGTCCCTATACCCCTACACTCAAGCCCTCTCTGTGACAAGGAGACAAAGGGAAGCTCTGAGCAGCCCTGGACCTGGCTGGAGAGTGCTATGCAGTGCTTCACGGGACCGTATGTTGGCAAGAGAGGCTCCTTCACCTCAGGTATTCTCCTGTGGACCATACACTACCTCCTCTGTTCAAAACAAAGGTGCAAAGGGGTGAGTTCCCCTGCTGGAGGCCACCTGCACAATTGAGAGATGTTCAGAGCTGGATGGAGTGGTACTCATTTGTAATCCCTACTTCTCTAGAGGCTTAGACAGGATTGTGCATCAGAGGCCAATCTCAAAACAAAATCAGTAGCTGGGCATGTAGTCCCAGCACTTGAGAGGTGGCAGCTCACTCACTACAAGTTCCAAGCCAGCAGGGGGACTCTGTCTCAAATAAATAAATAAATAAATAAATAAATAAATAAATAAATAAATTCAATTAAATAAAGTCAAAGGGGCTACTAATGTCCACCTAGGCCAGCACCTAGCCTCGGAGCTTAACACCCTGAGGGTTTCCTACTACTAGAGAAAAGGAGAGGAAGGAAGGAAGGAAGGAAGGAAGGAAGGAAGGAAGGAAGGAAGGAAGGAAGGGAGAGTGTGTATTTATTTACCTGGTGTCTAAAGTCATGTCTTAGCTCCGGGCAAGAGTGTTGTGTTGTACAGGCCACTGGGACTAAGGTCATCAAGAGCAAGGCTTGTGTGCATATCTATTTCTTGGAACTGTCAAAATGGAAGGCAACAGACCCACAAGTGACTGATGGCGAGGGTCCTCTTCCCGAAGACATTGGAGTCTACAGAAGCCTCAGACCCTTCTGAAAATAGTGTAGTGCGTGCATGGAACCTCCACAGGGCCTCCTATAGACAGAAACCTTCCCTAGGTGACAGATTTGTGTAATCAATGGTGTCACTGGGGAATCACAAAAAGAGCATGTGCACAGAGGCACCCATCTCTGCCTGGCTTCTATTTCTGCACACACTTATTTGAGTCCTCCGATGTGGGGGCCTAAGGATGAGTGGGGCACTGTGTCACAAGCTGTGCAGCCTGCACAACAGCAACACAATGTATCTCCTACCATTGCACAGGCTAGACATTTGAGTAAGCTGTCTCTGAGGCTGGCTCCTCCCAGGTACCTCTCCTTAGCTGTTGATTTATTCATCCCAGTTCTCATCTGTGTATCCCAGGCTGACCTCCAGCTCACCCTGTAACCCAGATTGGCTTTAGAGTCTCAGTCCTCTTGCCTTGGCTTCCCTAGTGTTGGGATTATTGGAATGTGCCACCCCACATGGCTGCTTCTTGGCTTGTAGGTGGTCAAATTTCCTCTGTGTCTTTACGTAGCCATCCACCGCTTCTGCATTTTTTTGATCTCTTTGTTTTTCTTTTCCTTTTTTTTCTTTTTTCTTTTTTCCTTCTGAGACAGGGTTTCTCTGTGTAGTTCTGGCTGTCCTGGAACTCACTCTGTAGACCAGGCTGGCCTTAAACTCAGAAATCTGCCTGCTTCTACCTCCTCTATGCTGGGATTAAAGGTGTGCACCATCACCACCCAGTTACCCTGAACTCTTTGTATGTGATGCGTGTGTGTGTGTGTGTGTGTGTGTGTTTATGAGGGTAAGTGCATGTACTTCTGTCTGTCATGCAGAGGCCAGAGGTCATAGTTAATCAGAGTAACTTACTCAAGTGTCTTCCTCTATTACTCTGTACCTTTGCATAAAGAGTGTGTATGTGTTGTCTGTGAATGTGTGTGTATACATGGCGTCTATATATGGTACATATGGTGCGTGTGTATACATAGGGTATGGGGGTATGTGTGCATAAGTGTGTGTATATATGGTGTGTGTGTGGTGGATGTGGATGTGTATATATAGTGTGTGTGTGTTCATATGGTATGTGTGGTGGAGGTGGTGTGTGGATATGTGTGTATATATGGCATCTATATATGGTACATATGGTGCCTGTATTACGATATGTGTATATACATGGGGTGTCGGGGTATGTGCATATATGTGTGTGTATATGTGTGTGTATGGTGTGTGTGTGGTGGGTGTGGATGTGTGTATATGGTATGTGCATGTGTGTTCATGTGGTATGTGTGGTGGAGGTGGTGTGTGGATGCATGTGGACGCACGTGTAAGCAGAGGAGGACACCACGCAGCCTGCTCTGTCATTCAGTCTCATGCCTTGAGATGGAATCTTTCACTGCCGTGGAGCTAGGCTAGCAGTTGAGAGCCTTCGGCACTTCCTGCTTCAGTTCTTACTCAGTGCTGGGGTTGCAGGCCTGCACGAACACACCTGGCTTTTCTCATGGGTTCTGGGGGTTTGAACTTAGGCCCTCATTCTTGCACAGCAAGCCCTTTACTGATAGCCATTTTCCTGCCTCCTAATTTCTTCCTAATCCAGTTGCATTGAATGAGAACTCACCCATGGCCTGTTTTGTTTGTCTCTGTACAGGCCCGTTTCCAAATACAGTCATATCTGAGATACCGTGAGTTAGGAGTGTACATTCTTATTTGGGGAACAGGCTCCAGCCCATAACAGATTGCAATAGCAGTCAGGGTTGGACGTGGGGACAGGAGTGGAGGGTGCTATACCCAGGCGCAGTGGGAGTGGCCTAGAGGATGAAAGGCCTGCCTCACTGCCATCCAGGCAAAGCGTGAGGGAAGATGCGTCAGCAATTCTGGTGAGGTCAGTGCCCAGTGACGTTCTTGTCGCCAGCAGGAAAGGCTTGCAACAGTCAGTATAAATAGGATTTCAACCACAGGGCCCGGGCTGTCCTCTCTTCCTGGGCCACGTCAGCCAGGTCCGCGTGATGTGGAGAGGAAGAGAGGGTGGGTTTGCTTCCTCAGAACTGCTATCTCCCAGCCTTTCCGGCCCACCCTCCGGCTGTGAGGGCCCTGCCCCTTTAAGTGCACGGACTGGATCTACCATGGCTTGAGTTGTACTCGCTGTGGCAGAGGTGGACACTGATTCAAGTTCCAGCCTCTACTACCTGTGAGCCTGATGTTTTCATCCAGTCACAGCATCTCCCAGGGCCTCAGTTTCTCTTCTCTGTAAACTTGAATGTCACAATTAAATGAGGCGCACAGATAATCCGATTAAAAATGGGCGACAGACCAGGCATGGTGGCACAGGCCTGTGATCCCAGCACGTGGGATGCAGAAACAAAAGGATCAGGAGTTCAAGGTCAACCTCAGCTCCCGGTGAGATCAAGGCGATCCGTGATACAGGAGATCCTGAAAAAGAAAAAAGAGGCACTGGAATCCAGGCAGGGCAACGACCTGGGCAGTGTGCCGGGGAAACTCTGGCTGCACAGCACAGGCCTAAACTCCATTCTCAGAACCCACAGGAAATGCCAGGCATGGTACCACAAGGCTGTGATCCAAACACTGGGGAGGTAGAAACTCAGGGTTGGGTCAGAGTCAAGGTCAGGGTTAGGCTTAGGAGCCAGTCTAACTGATTAGGGTCAGGGTCAGTATTATCATTGTTAGAGTCAGAGTCAGGGTTAGTGTTAGGAACCAACCTAACTTGTCAGCTCTGGGCTAATGAGAGACTCTGCCTCAAAGGAGGATGATGACATTCCTAAGGATGCTACCCAAGCCTTCACGTGCACACACACACACACACACCCTTCACAAAGGATTTGATTAGACATTTCCTCCTGAAGAAAAAAAATGCAAGAACTAGGTGGTGGAAGCACATGCCTTTATTCCCAGCACTCAGAAAGGAGATGCAGGTGGATCTCCATGAGCTCGAGGCTAGCCTGGACTGTAGAATGAGTTCCATGACAGCCAAAGCTATATAGAAAAAAAAGTATAGAAGTGTATGGCAGATTGCGCAATACCATAAGGTATTGTGGAGGGATGACAGGAGGGTGCTAGAACTGGGTTGTAGAGATGACTTCATAACCCTGATTGAGGAAGAGTACAGAACTCCGTACATCAGATGATATAAGGGCTGTATATGAATTGCTTTTTAAGTATAGCGAGTGGTCCAGGCACCTCTTGAGATACTTAGTGTCACTCAAGGGCTGAGCCTCAGTGGGCATTTGGTAAACATGTACCTTGCAGTTCCTGGGGTAGACAAAGGCACACATTGGTTTATGTCACTAAGTGGCTTTGGGGCAGTTGGGAAAGGCAGGATTACGTAAGCCCCAGTGAGCAAGGACATGTCGGGTCAGAGAGGTCGAGGGGCCCAGGAGGTCCCTTGTTGTTGTCTAGTTACCATGGAGTCTTCTTGGGACCTGGCCTCCCAAGAGATTTGCTCTATGTTAAGTAACTGACCCCTCTAGGGGACTAAAGCCTGACTCAGAGGAGAAGGAAGAAAGGTGACCGGAGAGTTCTGTCAGATCTGTGACTCTCTGTGTCCCCGACACCCAGACTGGTGAGCCACCAACACAGAGTCTGTGACTAGACCTGCCTCAGGAAATCCCAGACTGAGGGAAGCCCCAGGGACAGTGACAACAGGCAGAGTGACAAGCTAGCAAGAGCAGAGGCTGTCAAGCAGTCTCCTGACTGCTTGCCCCCAATGACCCCAACACCCAAGATGAGCCCAAGTTGTGCCTGTGAGGTGAGAGACAGAGCCCCGCCCCCAGAGCTGTGCCAGGAAAACATAGTAACACTGCAGGAGTTCAGTTGTGTTCCCACTATTCTTGTAATGATAACATAGAGTATGCTGCCTGTTTCTGAGACATGTATCCCAGGCTGGCCTTGAGCTACTATGTAGCAGACAGTGAAATTCTCATCCCCCTGCCTCCACAACTGCATGCAAAGGCCTAGAAGGTGTGGGGATTGAATCCAGGCCTTCCTGCGTGCTTGGTAAACACTGTACCAATCCATCTACCTGCTCAGCCCTTAGAATATCTATTTTGAAATATCAGATTCTTCTTTAGAATGTTTGGGTTCCCTGGCCCCAATAAACTGGGCAGGTTTCTAGATGTTACATGTGCCAGGCGTCACATTATACATTCATGAATGGCATACCGCTGGATCCTCATAACTGCTTTAGGATTTTTGCATTTTGTATTTTGCAGGTGGAGAAGCTGAAGCATAGAAAGTAAAACCCTGGAAGAGGAGAAAATGCAGGCTGGAACCCAAATAGCCTCTTCCTAGTCCAAGAGACCTACCAACACATTCAATGGATTGTCCGGAACTGATGCTGCCAAGTGGCTCAGGGAAAGCAAAAATGACAGCCTCTCCCCAACGGGAGGAATAGGTATCGTGCTGAGCAGGACTAAGTGTCACAGGACCAGGTGGGTTCTGAGTGTCTGATGGGGGCGGGAAGAAAACAGGAAAGTATGGCTGGTGCTCACACTGCAGACAGGGCTGGGGAGGGGAGAAGGGGTGGGGTACAGATGGTGCTGGAGAAACATCAGGGAACATCTGCACAGCCATCCAGATGTGGCCATCTGTAGAAACTGCAGCACAGGGGACTCATGGCTCCCAGCCGCAGAACCCAGGCACTCTCTGCTTGCACATGTGCACCAAGTCTGTGGCCAGGCTTCAGGAAGGACGGCATGCTGGGCTGCTGCTCAGAGCAACTGATCTCAGGCAGTCTAGCTAGCTCTTATGTCCCTTTCCCAAGGAACCAAGTTTCTGTCACCCTTGTCACACCGGAGCACATGATCTTGCTTCTGGGCAGCTTTGAAAACATGCTGACTTTTTCCTTGACTTTTTTTTAATATAGCATGTTCAAAAATTTGCTTTTTTGACTACTCTAGATTGCAACACTTTCCAGGAAAAGTAACTGAAAGAAAATTAAAAAACGTGCCGCACATCCCCCTCCCTTGTAAAGTTCACTTGGGCATGCATTCCATAAGAGCAGCACCTGCTTGCCTCACAAAGGGAGCTGCCAGTGGAGGACTGACTCCCACCATGTGTGTGTGTGTGTGTGTGTGTGTGTGTGTATGGTGTGTGCAGGTATGTGCTTATCAATGTGGAGGCTAGAAGTCCATGTCCAGTGTCTTCCTCAGTCACTCTCCACTGTATGTGTGTGTGTATATGTATGTATGTATGTATGTATGTATGTATGTATGCATGCATTTATTGGCAGGGTCTCCCACTGAACTTGGGTCACCAGTTTAACTGGACTGTCTATCCAGCAAGCTCTAGGGTTCTGCCTGTCTCTGCCTTCAACACTAAGCTACAGATCTGCCCACAGCCCCCAACTTATGCCTGGGTATTGGGGATCTGGACTCAGATCCTCATGCATATAAAGCAGGCACCTTGCTCCCTTTTTACATTTAGGAGTTGAGCACCAGAGACAAACAAACAAGAAAGAGAAGTAATGACTGGGTGTGGTGGTGTACGCCTTTATTCCCAGCACTCGGGAGGCAGAAGCAGGTGGAGCTCTGAATTTAAGGCCAGCCTGGTCTACAGAGTGAGTTCCAGGACAGTCAGGACGACAATAAAGAAACTCTGTCTGTCTCACACACACACACACGCACACGCACACGCACACGCACACGCACACGCACATGCACACACACACGAGATGTGGGAAGGGGAGGGACTCCCACCCCAGGCCAATCAGCAAGTCCGCTGAGAAAATGACTTGGGAGAAGGCCATGAAAAGCCACCTTCTTCCGTGTGTGTTCCTAAGGAGACTCCACACTGATACAGAACAGAAACTCATCCTGTGCTCCAAGGAGAGGCCATCAAAGTACCGTTTCCAAGCTCTTCCTGGTGGCCACCATTCATTGGATTGGAGGGTGTTAAGGGAGTTCTTGGTTACTCTGTTCTTGCATGAACTTAAAATCAGGATGGAGGAACCACACCACCTTACTCAGACTATGAGTTTAAGAGCCTGAAGTGGACAGTCCCCACATTTCTTCAAAAGATAATGGACAAGCCAAATGTAGCATGCTGTACAATGGAGATTAACACTCATGAGGAAGGCATACTGACACATGCCCCAGTGCAGAGGATGCTCAAGAACAGTAAGTTGGGGGCTGGAGAGATGGCTCAGTGGTTAAGAGCACTGACTGTTCTTCCAGAAGACCCAGGTTCAATTCCCAGTACCTATATGGCAGCTCACAATTGTCTGGAACTCCAAAACCTGACACTTTTACACAGACATACATGCAGGCAAAACACCAATGCATGTAAAAACAAAAACAAAACAAAAACAAAAACAAAACAAAAAGAACATCAAGCTAAGTGGAAGCAAGGACACAAGTCATACTTGGCTGTACAGCTCCATCAGTGTAAACCACAGAGGATAGTGCAGAGAGAGACTAGGGACTGGTGGTAAGCAGGGCAGGGAGGAGTGGGAGTGGCCTGGCTGCTAATGTATTGCAGGGCCTCCTTTAGAGTTGGTGAAAGATTTTGGACCAAATGTGTTAAATACCATTGAATCCCTCTCTTGAAAATAGCTATCAGAGAGGCAGGCAGATTTCTGAGTTCGAGGCCAGCCTGGTCTACAGAGTGAGTTCCAGGACAGCCAGGACTACACAGAGAAACCCTGTCTCAAACCCCCCACCCCCCCCAAAAAAAAAGAAAAGAAAACAGCTATCAGCACACCCATTGTAATCCCAGCATTGGGGAGACTGAGGCAGGAGGATCACGAGTTCCAGAACAGCCTGACTTCCAGACAAGAACCTGTCTCAAGAAAGACAAAAAAAAAAAAAGTTCAATTATGCAGATGTTATCTCAATTTAAAAATTGGGGAAGAGACTGGAGAGATGGCTCAGCAGTTAAGAGCACTTCCTGCTCTTGCAGAGGACCCAAATTCAGTTCCCAGCATCCACACAGAGATTCACAACCACCTCTAACACCATTCCCTGGAGATCTGAAGGCCTCTTCGGACATCTGCAGGCACTGCACATAAGTAGTGCACATACATGAATGCAGGCAGGCAGGCATACACAGAAAAACAGAATAAATAACTTTTTTTAAAGTTAGGGAACCAAGGAGATGGCTATGGGTAAAGTATTTGCTGTACCAGCATGATGCCCTGAGCTCAGACCCCCAGCATCCTGTAAAGCTGACCCTGTGGGGGCCATCTGAAGCCCTAGGACTGGGGGTCAAAGACAGGCATGTCCCATGGGCTCACTGGCCAGCCAAACCATCAGGAACATGATCTAGATTCAGTGAGAAACCCTACCTCAAAAATGAGGTGCCAAGCCATAAAGGAAGACACCTGACTTTGACCTCTGTCCTCCGCAGAGATGAGCAGCCCTGCACCCCCATATGCACATGTACTTACATGCATACACCACATACACACCAAGAAAGGAACTAAGGAAGAGATTAAAAACACAGTAAGAGGTTGGGGTGTAACTCAGTATGTGAGAGGCCCTGGGTTTGTCTTCAATATGGAAGAGAGGAAGGAAAGAGGAAGGGTGAAGGGAGAAGGGGGGGTGCGGGGGGGAGGGAGGGAGGGAGGGAGGGAGGGAGGGAGACATTCAGCTACCTCAAGAAGTCAAGAGGTCTCCAAGGTTGCATGCATGAGTAGGGGGCCCAGGGTCTTCCTAAGGAGAAGGAATACGGCTGTGGGGCCATGTTCCACAAGGGACATGCTGGGAACAACTCACAGGTGCAGTGATAGGACAGGGAAACTGAGGCACTAGAGCCATGAGACCAGGAAGAGCACCCAGAAGTGCTGTGTGGTGATGGGGGAGGGAGGGCCTGGAGAGAGGGTGACATTTTGGGGTCTAGGCAGAAAGCCACACATGCTCGCTTCAGGGCATCAGGCAAGGAGACAGTGGGGGAGATGGAGCCAGCTAGGAGAGCTGGAGTAGGCAGGAGAGCCAGAGGCCAGCTCTTCCTTGGGAGTACAGGATCATGGAGAAAAGCAATAGGGGCAGAGGACACATGTGATCATATAAGCACCAAAGATATCCCCAGTACACATACACACATACAAACACACACTCACACAGGCATTCTCATATATACTCACACACACACTCTCACACACTCTCACACACTCACACACATACACTCATACATACTCTCTCTCACGTGCACACACACACACACTCTCTCACACACACACATACACACACACATACACACATACTCGTACACATACATACACACTCATATACATTCACACACTCACACAGGCATTCACACACATACACTCACACATATACACACTCACACCCACATACACTCATACACACACATTCCGCCATACACACACTCTTGTGCACACACACACTCATACACTCTCTCACATACACATACACACACTCACACACACATACACACACGCTCATACACACTCTTGTGCACACACACACTCACACACACTTTCTCTCACACACATACACACACTCACACACACACTCATGAACATGCACACATACACACACTCACACAGCACCCACATCCACATGATGCCACAACTAACCCCCTAAAAAGAAATTCTGGGCATCCCTAGAACTGGCACTCATGGCTCAGAACCCCAGCACTGTGATCCTCTTGGGAAAGTGACACAGACAGGGGCCATTGCTCAATATCACCTCTCAATCCAGCCCAGGGTCAGGGAGGAGCCAGGGCCAGACCTTGCGTGCCTGCTCACACAACTAGTCACCAGCAGCAGACGCCTGGCCACCAGCACAGACAGCTGGGATTACAAGGAGTCTTGCAAAATATCTCTCTCTCTCTCTCTCTCTCTCTCTCTCTCTCTCTCTCTCTCTCTCCCTCCCTCCCTCCCTCCCTCCCGCCCTCCCTCCCTCCCTC